GATCCGTGCCAGGTGCAGGGTCTGCTGGCTGGGTGCTGTCAGGCTTGTACCTGGCACGGGCACCGTAGCCAGCCCGTGCCCCTTTAAAGGCTCCGGGGCTGGGAGGGGGGCAGACGAGTTTCCCTGGTGTTGGCCAGAGGGGCCACCACGGGAACCCGGGGGGGGGCAGGTGGCCAGAGTGGCCACCAGGGAAACCTGGGGAGGGCTAGCCTCCCACTAGTTCGAATTAAGGGTCTACACAGCCCTTAATTCGAACTAGTAAATTAGAACTAGGCTTAATCCTCGTGGAATGAGGATTACCTAGTTCGAACTAAGCGCTCCATTAGTTCGAATTAAATTCGAACTAACGGAGCGCTAGTGTAGCGCCTTTGAAAGTTAGTTCGAACTAACTTTGTAGTGTAGACATACCCTTAGGGACTCCACCGCCCATTTGATGGCCAGCGCTTCCTTCTCGATAGTGGAGTATAGTTGTTCCCATGGAAGGAGTTTACGGCTTATGTACAATATGGGCCGGTTGCCTCCCTGTCATTCCTGGGCCAGTGCGGCCCCTAAGACTACATTTGAGGCGTCTGTCTGGACTATGAAGGTCTTAGTAAAGTCTGGCTGGGCCAGCAATGGGGCTGTGGTGAGACTTTGTTTCAGCCTTTGGAAGGCCCCTTCACTCTGCTCTGTCCACTGCACCCTTTGTGGGCACCAGTTCTTTGTTAGTTCAGTCAAGGGGGCCGCTATCGTGGCGAAATGGGGTATAAATCTCTGATAATAGCCGGCAAGGCCCAGGAATTGCCACACTTGCCTTTTCATGGTCGGGGCCCGGTAGTTCTGGACTGCCTCCATCTTGGTCACCTGTGGCTTTAGGTGCCCTCTCCCGACTACATGCCCGAGGTAGGTCACGTCCATCCGGCTGAATGTGCACTTGCTTGGGTTGGCTGTAAGCTGAGCGGTGGGGAGGGCCTCGAGGATGGTCCGAACATGGCCTACGTGTTCTGCCCATGATGCACTGCAAATGACAATGTCGTTGATGTACGCAGCAGCGTATGCCTGGTGGTCCCTCAACAGCTTGTCCATCACGCTCTGGAAGGTGGCTGCTGCCCTGTTCAGCCCGAAAGGCATTGTTAGGAAGTGATACAGCCTGAAGGGTGTGGCAAAGGTGGTCTTTTCCTGCAATGCTGGCGTTAGAAGTATCTGCCAAAACCCTTTGTGAGATCTACCGTCGACAAATATTGTGCGTGCCCCAATCTTTCGAGCAGTTCTTCTACCCGGGGCATGGGGTAGGCGTCGAATTGCGACAGTGCATTGACCTTATGGAAGTAGATGCAGAAGCGGAGAGTTCCATCGTGTTTGGGGACTTGGACCGGGGGCTCCCCCCTCCACTCCTTTACTCCCGTATCACCCCCATCTGCAACATTTTGTGAATTTCCTCCTTCACCGTGCCTCACATCTTCCGAGATACGGGTCTGAGGGGCTCATGCATCTTCTGCCCGCGGGCCATCTGGATGTGGTGTTGGCCCAGGGTCGTCCTCCCCGGTCGCGTCGACAGGACTGCTGCAAATTCATGTAATAGGGCCTTCATCTCCTCCCTCTGTAGTCCTGTCAGTTCTTGTCCCAGGGTGGCCTCTTCTGTGATGTCTCCTAGGTCGCCGCCCCAGGGTCCTAACTCAGGTTCTGCGGGATGCATCAAGCCCTCCCGGTCCTTCCACCTCTTCAGTAGGTTTATGTGGTAGATCTGTGTCTCTTTCCGGTTGCTGTTAATTAATATTTCGTAATCCACCGGGCCGACTTGTCTTATTACTTTAAAGGGCCCTTGCCATCTAGCCATCAGTATCCTGTCCCCGGAGGCGAAGTTCCGGGCCTTGGCCCCCTGGTTATAATATCAGGCCTGCCTGGCCTGTGCGCAGGTTAGGTTCTCTTTGGCTACTTCTCCCGTCACCTTCAACTTCTCTCGCAGCTCTAAAATATAGGGCACGGTTTCCTTTACTCGTGAGCCCTGCTCTTCCCATTCCTCCTTGATTAGGTCGAGTATCCCCCAGGGTTGTCTCCCATAAAGTAATTCAAATGGGGAGAACTCCGTGCAGGCTTGGGGTACTTCCCATATGGCAAAGAGTAGCACAGGCAGGAACTGGTCCCAATCTCGGGGATCCACTTCCACAAACTTTCGGAGCATCATTTTAAGTGTTCTATTAAAGTGCTCCACCAGCCCATCTGTCTGTGGGTGGTAGACAGAGGTGCAGAGCTTTTTTACCTTCAGCGGGCAACAGATTTCCGTCATAACTTGTCCCGTCAGGTTAGTCCGCCGGTCGGTGAGTATCTCCTGGGACAATCCCACCTTTGAGAATACTTTTACCAGTTCGGCGGCCAGTAACGGGGCTTTCGTGTTCTGGAGGGGTACCGCCTCCGGGTAGCGGGTGGCATAGTCTATTAAAACTAAAATATGTTGGTTGCCCCTCTGGGATCTTTCCAAGGGGCCCACTAGGTCTAGGGCTATCCACTACTGGAAGGGGTACGAGTGGAGCTCGGGGGATGTTCTTCTCTCCCGCCCGTTGGCACTCAGGGCAGGACTCACAGAAGTCTTTAGTCTCCTTGTACACCCCGGGCCAATAAAATCACTGCAGTATCCTTTGCAGCGTCTTTTTGGCCCCTAAATGTCTGGCCCAGGGGTTCGCATGGGCCGCTTCCAATACCCACCACCGGTAGTGTGATGGCACCAGTAGCTGCAGGGTCTCCCCCCCACCCGGGGCGAGGGGCCACCCGGTACAACCATTCGGTTCTTACCTCGAACCAGGGTCCTTGCCTGCCTCTTGCCTTGGTGTCGTCCCCTGGTCTGGCCTGCTCTCAGGCATGTTTCAAGGACTTATCCTCTCGTTGCTTGCACAGGAAATCCCCGTCGTCCTTGGCCGCTCTCCCCACGGGGCTCCTACTCGGAGGGCAGGCCGTTTGTACCTTCCTGAGACCTCTCTCTGCCCCTTGGTGCAGCGGCCCTTCTTCTTCCTTTTCCGCCCATCCTTTCCCCCACTCTTCAACCAGGCTCTGGAAGTTGGGCCAGTCTCATCCCAAGACCACTGGGTAGGCTAGTCTCAGGGCTACTGCCACTCGGCATCTCTCTCAACAGGCTCCCACCCTTATGAGGACCCACCGGGTGGGATACTGCTTCACATCTCCATGGATGCACTGCATCGCTATCGGGGGTCCCCCTGGCTCATCTTCTGGTAGCAACTCCTCCCGCACCACCGTATGGTTGCACCCTGAGTCTATCAGTACCCATACAGTTTTCCCCACTAGGCCTACCTGGACTGTGGTCTTGGCGACCACAGCGCTTGTTGCGCTGCTGTCATCGCCCGGCCGTATGAGCAGTCCATGAATGGGCAGTCCCGCCGGTAGTGGCCCTCCTGCCCACACTCAAAGCAGGCACCTCGCTTCTCTGGCTTGGGCAGGCGCAGGGGCATCGACTCCTTGTCTCTGGAGGCATTTCCCCTTGGGGTTTCAGCGGGGCCCGCTCGTGCCCCTTCTCCCCACCTCTTCCATGGGATGAGTGGCGGGATCCTGGCTCCTCTTACTCTTGTTGGTCGTGCCCGCCCACGCTCTCCCTTGGCCCTGGGGCCCTTCTGGGCGCCCACCAGCTTATCTTCTCCTCCATCCATGTAATTCTCCAGGATGGAGACGGCCTCTCCAAGCGTTGTGGGTTGGTGTTGTCGCACCCACAGTCGGCTATCCTGGGGTATGATCTGTAAAAACTGGTCCAATACAATCATCTCCACTACCTACGTGGCTGACTTCCTTTCTGGTTCCAACCATTGTGTGGCCGCCTCTTTTAGTCGCTGCACCATGGCCCTGGGGCGCTCCCCAGGCTGATACTTCTCAGCCTGGAATCTTTGCCTATGCGTTTCGGGGGGTGATCCTGGCTTGATCTAAAATGGCCTCCTTCACTTTGTGATAATGTAAGGCCTCTCGGGCGGACAGGCCCCTATGCACCCCTTGGGCTAGGCCCGTAAGGTAGGGGGCCAGTAGTGTCGCCCAAGGTTCCTCCGGCCACCGGGCTGCCGTGGCAACCCTCTCGAAAGTTACTAGAAAGGCCTCTGGGTCATCACTTCGGGTCATTTTTTACCCAGTGCAGTGGTAACGCTACAGCGGCCCCTATCCCCGGGCCTTCTACTGGTGTCAGTTCGCCCAAGGTTCCTCCGGCCACCGGGCTGCCGTGGCAACCCTCTCGAAAGTTACTAGAAAGGCCTCTGGGTCATCACTTCGGGTCATTTTTTACCCAGTGCAGTGGTAACGCTACAGCGGCCCCTATCCCCGGGCCTTCTACTGGTGTCAGTAGGGGGCCCTGTGCCTCCGGGCCCCTGTTGCATCCACTGGTCCATTTGTTTCTGCTGGTGTAATCTCTGCTGCTCTCTTTGTTGCTCTGCCAACTGTTGGAGGAGCTGCGTTTGCTGTTGCTGCTGGCTTTCAGCCAGCCATTCCAGCAGCTTTCCTGCATCCATTTTCTAGGCTTTTTATTTTTATTTTTTTAAGCCCACACACACACACACACACTCTCGCACGGGGCTCGGGTCCCCTTTCCTTTTGCCTGGCTTAACCTATGCCCACATTCTCCACCAGTATAGCCGAGTCCCCAGTTGGGGTGGTGGAGGGGGCCTCCTCCCTGCCCTCAGCCTTTGTCTACCTGTCCATCGCTCCCGCAGTCTAGGTCCTTGAATCCCGCTCCCAGGGTCCTGCTGGGTCCCTCTGGAACTGTTGCTCCCGGGCTGTCACCGCTCCTGGGTCTGGCCCCACCCAGCTCCGGCTGCCGTGTCCTCCAGCTTGCCTGTCCTGGGTGCCGCACCTCGTCGGTCCAGTTCATGTTGTCTGTCTACAGTGGTCTCTTGCACAAGTCTTATTCCTGAGTAGGAGCGTCATAGTTCTTGCGCAAGAAGCACTGATTTCTTACATTAGAACATCAGTGTTCTTGCGCAAGAACTCGCGGCCAGTGTAGACAGGTGGCAAGTTTTTGCGCAAAAGTGGTTGCTTTTGTGCAAAATTTTGCCAATGTTGACGTAGCCATGGGGTTGCCAGGTGTCCGGTATTCTACCGGAAAGTCCGGTATTTGCACTCTTTGTCTGGTAAAAAAAATCAGAGAATACTTGACATGTGCAATGTCTGGTTTTCTCTGATGTTTCCATCTGTGCACAGGACGGAAGCCTGACATGGGCAGGGGGAGCAGCTGGAAGGTGTGCAAAATTTTGCCAATGTTGACGTAGCCATGGGGTTGCCAGGTGTCCGGTATTCTACCGGAAAGTCCGGTATTTGCACTCTTTGTCTGGTAAAAAAAATCAGAGAATACTTGACATGTGCAATGTCTGGTTTTCTCTGATGTTTCCATCTGTGCACAGGACGGAAGCCTGACATGGGCAGGGGGAGCAGCTGGAAGGAGGGAAGCCTGTTATTTCACAGAAGCCTGGCAGGGGCGGGGGGAGTGGCTGGGACTCCACCACCCCACCAGGCTTCTGTGC